TGTAATGCATTTACTTATGTAGCACTGCACAAGAGAGCATTTCTTATTTATCATCAAGGGCGAATCATGGGAGCGGTAAGCTTGTCAGAGAAGTTGTCTTGCTTTTTTCACCAAGCTTGTAAAGTTCTATTTGGTGACAAGATGTAGTTTTTCACTCTTAAAATAACTAATGTCTTGCAAACTTATACATTCATTACTATAAGGTCGCGCTAAGCAAAAAGTTCAGCTGGCAGCACCCGTCTACGCGATTTATCTAATGCGTTGACTTCAATATTTCCCTTGCATAAGGAGCGTATTCTAATATAGAGAGACTAGACATTCTTGTATATAGAAACTTCTTAAAATATCGCAAGGGAATCCTTGTGACCATTAAAAAATATTAATTTCATTCGCTATCGTCCTGAATGATCCCATTATGCTGTTTTTCGAACGATCTGGGGAGTATAGCTGTAGCTGAATTGCTACCTACAGTACCACAGCACACATACCTATCAGAGATACGGTACTATAAAAGCTAAGTGTTATTTATATCGACTTGTTCTATCTACAAAATTGTTAGCTAGAGAATTTCATACACAGTTCCATGATATGAAGAAAGCGTGACCTCAACTGGCCGTCAATGTGTAAATGAACCTCTCGAAGCTCATTCATAACTAGAACATACTGATCTTGACAAGATTTGATGAATAATAGTAAGGATAAGAACTTCGCTCACTTTGCTATTTGATAAAGACGATAAGTATGGATTCACTGGCTCTCTGCCCAATTTATTCACCATCGCCACCAAGCAGAATACTGTAGATTTCCGAACACTGGACTGTGGATTAGAGTAGCACTGGAAGAAAACGTATTATGCATCAGAACTGGTTCACGTATTGTCTCCAAACAAAGTATCGACAAAGCCTTACGTTTACAACTCCCGGTGCAATTTCTGGTAACCTGGCTGTCAGCTCTTCAGCATCCAAAGATTCGATCAAACGGGTTAACATTTTTAACGCAGGGCCAACTCGAGGATCATTCTGAAGAAGTGAATGACCTCAAAAACTTGGACATTTGCTCAAAAAAGGGAATTTCAAATATGAACAATTTCAAAATACTCGAAGTTGAGCTGAGAGAGAAAAGCTAAGAATAAGAGCGTACGGAGCCCAGTACCCAAAATCGTAATTTCTTTTTTGTTTTCGCCTTTTCTAAGACTAACTTAACAAGTCTCCGATAATCACCTATCATGAAACTAATATACCCAGGCCTGCTCCAAAGCTTGAAATGCATCCAATCAGGAAATTTAAGTACATGTGTTCACCTGAACCCATTTAAAGCGGACAGCCAATGAACGGTCTCCAAGTTGGTAAGAAGCGCAACAAAGAGTTTGGAATTTGTATGCAAAAACCTCGAGAAACTTAGGAGAATAAAAATCGCCGCACCTTTTTTTGATTAAGGTCTCCAGCAGACGACAGGAGTGCCAGTCTTCCCATTAGCAAACTCTTTTTTGTTTTTCATAATTTTGCTTTCCCTACATCCCTTGAGAGGGCCCTACATCGCCTTATATTAATGGGGAAAATGCGCTCCAAGCAAACAACGCTGCAGTACTTTTCCCATTCACAAGCTTTCTAGAGGTTGAAAAAGGGGTTTCGTAATTTGCTGGATTTCCAAGAAGTTGTTCGTTCTTATGAGGCAGAACCAAAAACCTTCTGCCGAGGCCAGAATTGCAATAAATAGACCACGAATATTTTGCTTAGACCGCCATAGATTCTGTATAAATTTAAGAGACTTTAGCTATCCGGAATCAGAACATTTTAAAAAAACGTTGCATATGTTGATAATGGACATTTAGTGAACTGAAAGGAATGAACGAACATATTATAGATCAAAGACACATCGGCTTTTCATACCTACCAAACACAGAGATCGACAAGTGCGAATGAAAGGATGAATCTATGGCCATAATACTCTCTTATAAAAATCTGGTTTTCAATTTTCATAGTCAAATCTCCTTTTCCGCACGCTATAATCAAAAGAAAACTACAAACCTCTTGAGCAATTATAGGTTTCGTTGCGCGGATGACAACGTGTAGAGGAAAATGAGTGGCTAGGGTCTTAAGGCATTCATCAGCAACGTTCATGACTTGCTGAAACCATTGATATTAATAAAATTCAAACCTGATTTGCTTCAATTTTTCAACAGAAAATTACCGGATTTTCTTCCTCAGCAATTGAATCTAGCACTTTGAACAGAGTCATTTCAGCTAAATCGTAGAAGCTAACCGCTTGTGCTACGCTAAAATGAGTTTGGCTACAGCATGTGC